ATGCATCGTGCCACCCTCCTGGTAATGGCAGTGCTTTGGACTCCTTCCTTGTGCACAGTTTGGCCTCTTTGCTTAAAGAGCGAGGTGTTCCACAAGAAGTCGCGAATCATCGTGCGGCTCAGGCGATTACCTCTCTGGGATTGGGACAGGTTCAGAAAGCCATGCTTGCTTCTAACCCTTGGAAGGAGCTTAAGGCTTTGGGAAATTTGCATTCTCCTCCCTTCCACTTCCTTCTCCCTAGTGAGCTTCAGGCCGTAGTTGCGGCGAAGACTCGGGCTGGTGGGCTTGCTCTGGGTAACCGCCAGAAGACTAAGTCCAAAATTCCTGCAGTTCCTGCTCGTGCGTCTCCGGTGTTGCCTGACCTTGACCAGGTTGCCATTCCTTCAGGGGTTTTCGTTGATGGTGACACGCCTCTTGCACAGATCCCCATTGGTGACGTTGGCCCTACTTCAGCTGGAGTGGTATTGGTCCGGCCGGAACAAGCTGCACCGTACTTCAAGCTTTCAAGGCCTGTCAGTCGCGCAGCATTGGCCCTTGTGGTTGTCGGTGAGCTTGACCTTGGTGAGGTGACTGTCAAGTTTGAGGTGTTGCGATTCCGAGCCACGTCAACGAAAAGTGCACTTCCGTTGCTTCTTTCCGGGACTTTGCTCCAAATTGGCGATCGCTGGGTTTCCAAGCATGCCCCTAAGGTCACTAACGTTGAGGTTGTTCCATCGGAGGTACTTCGCATCGCTGTGTTTCGTGACCAGTTCGAGGGTGATTGGGACACTTTCACAATGCGCCCACTGCGGGAGATCATACAGGTGGTTCCCTGCCTACGCACTTGCTCGGTCGCAGGTTGTAGTTGTGCTGCTTGGCATGGTGCCTCCGCGCCGGGTGAGCCGGAAGCTATCCTTGAGTGTTGGGCCAGGTCTTGGCATTCCATTGCGTACAAGCAAGCCCCGGCGAAGTCAGCAGTAATCTTCAACATCTTTGTGAGAATCCCTGCTGGGCTTCTCAAGCCTCTGCTTGCATGCTCCGGGTTGCATGGTGTTTTCGTTGAGCCGCGTGCCGCAGATTCCAAGGAGGCTTCTGCTGAGTTTCGTGTTATCTGGCTTCCGAAAGCTTCTTATAGTGAGGTCCTGCTGCTTAAACAAAGCCATGGCGAAATCATTGGACTTGCACGTGTTGGATCGCGATTGGGAGTTCGTTGCGATAAAGCTGACGAAGAGGCGTTACACAAAGTCCTCAAAGGCACCCCTTTTGTCGATCGTAGCTCTTTGTGTATGTTCGTTGTCGGTCCTTGGCCTTTCGGGACGCAGCGCCAAGCCGTTGAAAAAGCCTTGGCCTCCTTTGGATGGGTTGCTCGCGTTACCCAGCCTCTTGCTGGCCAGCCTGGTGGTCTGTGGTGGCGGGTTCAAGCCGGCTCGCGCCCTCCTGAGCTTGTCTTGCACACACAATTCGGTGAAGTGCTTATCAGTGAAGAACCTGGGCGTGCAGTTACCCCGGTTGTGAAGCATGCAGTGCTTGCTGCTCGCAGTGCTTTGCGTGATGTCTGTCCGCCTTCGCCCCCTTCGGTTGACCCTTTGCAGGTGCATGATCCTTGGGCTGCAGCGCTTCAGAAGCAAAAGCCTTCACAGCCTGCTTCTGTTCAAGATGTGTCTGCACAAGTTGAAGCCAAAGTATTGGCCAAAATTCAGCGTGATCGTTCCTTGTCGTCTGCCGCCCCGCCTTCTGAGCAGTTGCGTGAGGAGCTTGAACAGAGTGTGCTTGCCAAGGTTGAGGCTCGTTTGACGGAACATCGCACTGTGGTCGAGGGTCGGCTTTCTGGATTTGAAACTCAGGTTACAGCCCTTTCAGACAAAGTTGATGGCCAGGAGTCGGTGCTTCGCAGCATGTTTCAGGAGCAGATGTCCCGCATTGAAGAGTTGTTAGCTGCGCCCAAGCGGTCTCGGCATGAGTGACTAGGACTTGGGCTTGGGGTCTTTTGGTGCCTTGCTTCGGTTGCCCTTTGTTTGGGTGTGCTGGCACGTGCTTCATGCAGGAGCGTGCGCCACTGGTCCGTATTGATTGCTTTTCTTTCGGTGCGTGTTGGGGAAGCAGCGCATCCTGGTCCGGGGGTCGCGGACGAGTCTTTCTTCACTTTGGGTGCCATTAACCCCACCGGGCTTAATGGCAAACATGGGGTAGTTTCTCAGCTTGATTCGCCCGCAATCTATGCTGTCAGCGAAACGCATTTGACCAAGCCAGGGTTGGATTCATTCAGGATGGGTTTGCGCCTGGCCGGTCCCTTTTCGTTTGTTCATGGTTGTCCTGTGGCCCCTCGGCCGCGCAGCCAGGTGTCTGGTGTCTACGAAGGCGTAGGCTTTGTCACGTCGTTTCCTGCTCGTTTGGCTCCACACTCGTGGCCTGCTTTGCTGTATGAGACCTCTCGCGTTCAGGTTGCCAATTTCTTCGTGGGGCCCATGTGGCTGTTGGGCGGAGTGGTCTATGGGTACGCCACCGACTCCTCTCGTACGTCATGTCTGCTTCAGGCCATCACTGAGCGCGTGGTTTTGGGTGCTTCTGGACCTCGGTTCGTGGCCGGCGATTTTAATCTGGAGGTGGACAGAATCGATTTCGTTGATATCTGGCGTGAGCGCGGTTTTTGCGAAGTGCAAGACCTCATGCGCTGGGCAACTGGTTGCCAACCTCGCCCTACATGTAAAGGCAAGACCCGCAAGGACTTCCTGTTTGTTTCGGCTGAGTTGGCAGCGATGTTTGTCCGTACCATGGTTGATGAGACGTTTTTTGCTGATCATTCTGTGCTTTCGGCGAAATTCCGCACGTCCGAGTCCTTTGTCCCGCGCTTTCAGTGGCGCATGCCTGTTCATCGCCAGTCTCTTCATCTTCAGCCCTTGCATGTTTGCGCCGTGGGTGGCCCTGTTAGCTCAGCTTGCCCTCCGTCTGAGCGCTTTGCTGCGGTTTTCGAGCGGTTTGAAGATGGGCTCTCGCGTGCTCTTGTTGACCGCAACTTGCCACCTCTGTGTTCTCGTGAAAAAGGGCGCGCCCGCACTTTCGAAGTCAAGTGCAGCAAGACGAAGTTTGCTCCGGTTCGTAACTCACGCGTTTCTGAAGTGTCCCCCGCCTTTTTCGGGCCAAACCTTCGTTATGCACAGTGGTTTAGGCAGCTTCGTCGCCTTCAGGCTCTTCGCCAGGCCCTCCTCTCGGCCAGCTCGACGCCCTCTGCGTTGGAGTATCGTGCGGGTTTGTGGGGTTCCATTCTTCGTGCTCCAGGTTTTGGGGTTCCTTTCGTGAGTTGGTGGCCTACTCGGGGAATCCAGCTGCCCACCGATCCGGTCGGTATCCCGCTGTGTATTCCTTCATTGGACGTTGTGACTCAAGTCTTTGCTTCTTTTGAGGCGAATGTTCGTGCATGGGAGAGGCAGTTGCTGTCTGCACGTCGTGGTGAGGCTGCTGCCCGTCGCGCTTCCGACCCTAGCCTCATCTTCCGCGATCTTCGTGCTGCCCCTGCTAAACCGGTGGAGTCATTAATTGAGCCGCTTGAGGCGAAAGTTGAGGAGGTTGATGCCGGTGACAATGCCGTTGTGCTTGACAAGGAGACTCCTTGGAGCCCCGATTTTCCACTCTGTGTGAACGGTGTGTGCCTTGATCCCATCCATGTTGAGCCTGACAAGATTTGGTGTCAGGAGGCCCCGCCGTGTGCCATTGGTGATAAGGTGGTTCAATCTGTATTGGTTGGAACGCTTCCCGATCTGTTCGCCAAATTTGGCAAGGAGTGGGCTCGACGGTGGCAGCGACACGACAATGTTGCTCCTGATAGGTGGCATGACCTTATCTCTTCGTTTCGGGAGCGTCGTGCTTTTCCTTCTATGGCTCTTGAGCCCATCACCCTGTCTCTGTGGCAAGCGGCCGTCAGGGCTAAAAGCACCCGCAGCGCGACCGGCCTTGATGGAGTTTCCAGACAAGATCTCTTGTTGATGCCGCCTGAGCTTACTATTGAGCTTATTCGGTTGTGCGAACACGCGGAACAACATGGGGTTTGGCCTCGCCAAATGCTCCAGGGGGTTGTCACTGCTCTGGAAAAGGTTCCGTCGGCTTCATTGGTCACGCAATTCAGGCCCATTTCCGTCTTATCTATGGTGTACCGTGTTTGGGGGAGTATCCGTGCCCGTCAATGTCTGCGACACTTGTCCCAGTTTGTCCCGCCGGGCCTTCTCGGCAATGTCCCGGGGCGTTCGGCTTCAAACGCGTGGTATTCCATCCAGCTTGCGGTTGAGCGCTCCTTTCGCGAAGGCCTTCCCCTTTCAGGTTTTAGTGCGGACCTCGTCAAGGCCTTCAACTTGTTGCCTCGGGCACCTACGTTTGCCTTCGCCATGCTGTGTGGCATCCCGCGTGGTTTGGTTGCCGCTTGGTCCGCTGCCCTTGTTGGCCTTGAGCGCCGCTTCAGGATCCGTGGGTCCGTTGGGCCAGGGGTTATGAGCTCGACCGGTTTCCCCGAAGGAGATGCGTTGAGTTGTGTGGCTATGACCCTGATTAATTTTGCCTATCATGAGCACATGGCCGCATCTGTTCCGGATTGTGTCGCCTTGACTTTCGTTGACAATTGGGAAACAACCGCTTCGTGTCCCATGAGTATTCTGCGAGCTGCCGCAGCTCAAGAGGATTTCTCACGTGCATGGGACCTCGAGGTGGACTCAAACAAGACGATTTTCTGGTCCACTGCCGCCGCTGATCGGAAATTGTTGCGTTCGAATCGGTGTAGTGTCGCTTTGGATTTCCGTGATCTTGGTGGCCATATGCAGGTTTCAAGGCGCCATACCAACTACACACAGACCGCACGTTGCAAGGACCTCGTTCCGAAGTGGCTTCGCTTGAAATGCTCGCTTGCGCCGTATGTCCAGAAAGTGCGGGCCCTTCAGGTTGCTGCATGGCCTATGGCTTTGCATGCTGTCAGCATCGTTACTTTGTCAGCTGCTTCCTTTCGCTCCTTGCGGAATGGTGCCATGATTGGTTTGGGAGCTAAGGCTCCGGGTGCCAGTTCGCGTCTTCACTTGAGCTTGGTCGAGTTTCCACTGGCGGATCCTGAGTTTTATGCGTTGCGGAGCTCGTTTCGTGATGCAGTTGCTTACGGTTCTTTGGAAGCGCTTGCACCGTTGTTGGATCTGGCCTCTACAAGCTCGGTGCGTCAGCCAGGGCCGGCGGGAGTGTTGTTGTCACGGGCTAATTCCATTGGCATTGCGTGGTCTCCTGAGTTGTGCTGTTTCCAGGACTCTCTTGGCAATCTTGACCCGTGGAGGCTTTCTTGTCAAGAAGTTGAAGCACGTTTGGTCCTGCAGTGGCAAGCTGCCGTTCAGCTCAGTGTGTCGCATCGAAAAGGTTTTACGGGCCTTGCAGGTTGCGACGCACACCTGACGCGTTTGATCTTCGGTCGGCTGGAGTCTGAATACAAAGTACTGGCACGAAAGTCGCTGAATGGCTCATTCTTTACGCAAGATGCATTGTGCCACTTCTCCGAGGGGGAGTCTGACGCTTGTGCATTCTGCGGCCATCCGGACAGTGTGCTCCACAGGGTTTTCGAATGCCCGCACTTCCAAGACGCTCGTGCTCTTCCTTTGCCTTGCCCGCTCTCGGTGCTTGAAGCGCAGTGTGATGCCACACGTTTGCATTGTTGGGCACCTTGCGTGAAGGATGTTGGCTTGCTCAGGCACGCACTTTGTCAGCTCCCTGACACTACGTCGCACTTTGAGCCGTTGCCTCCTATGCCCATGTACGATCTTTTCACAGATGGCTCCGGCCTTTGTTCGTCCTTTCCCTCCCTTCGCTTGGCCTCTTGGGGTGTCGTGGTTGCTGCAGATTCCTTCGGCTCGCCGGGCCTGCCCTTGTGCTCCGGGCTTGTACCGGGCTTGCTCCAAACTGCTTTTCGGGCGGAGCTGACCGCCATGTTAGCTGCCTTCACATTCGCTTCCACGGTTGAAATGCCTGTTCGTATCTGGTCTGACTGCTCGAGTGTGGTGCGGAGGGCGCAAAGCTTGCTTGCTGGCGAGTGGGTTCCCGCATCCACGGGAAAGCATGCTGACCTCTGGACAAGGATGTTGCATCTCATGCCGCTGCTGCATGATCGGGTTTCAGTGTATAAGGTCTCTGCACATTTGGATTCGGACTTGCAGGGTACGTTTGCAGATGAATGGGCCGTCGTCCACAACAATGAGGCTGATTACCTGGCGGGTTGCGCTAATCAGGAGCGCGGTAATGAGTTTTGGAACCTCTGGCGTCGGTGCGCGGACGGCTATGCTGAAGCATCACGCATTACTGAAGGGATTCTGCTGCTTCATGCTAGGATTGGCATGGTCGCTTCGCGGTCCGAGGGCCGACCTGGAGCCCGTCCAATATTGGCGGTGGCTGCGGTAGATGAGGGCGAGGCTTCCTTCATTCCAGCGTGTGATGTGGACCCGCGAGGCCGAATTACACATCGGTTTGGAGACACTGCGGTCAGAACTACAGCCGAGTGGTTTCGGGGCTTGCAGTCCCGTGATGGCGGAGGATCTCTACAGTGGATATCAGTGCTGCAGTTGTTGCTGGATTTTTGCTTTCACACAGGAAGTCCACCTCCGGTGTACCATGCTAGCACGCGCACGTGGATCGATCCGGCTACGGTTGGTCACGGCAGACTGGTGAGAGCCGAATTGACATCACGAACCCGTTGGTTTAGTCAATTCTTGCGAGGATTGCTCCGGGAATCGGGGGGCCGGTGGATTACGAGAGAGTGTCGGCCGGAGTCAACAGCGCTCCAAATTCGTTTGTTATGTATAGGTGTTGCTATGCCAGCTGATCGCCATGAGCGAATCGAGGCATATTTGTCCAGGGTTCTCCCAAATGGGACAGCTACAGGCGTTTCAAGATCCTGGACTACGTTACCCCTTCCATGAGGCGTGGTTTTGAGTCCGCTTCCGTTCGCAGAGGCAGGCTTCGCCATTCAAAGCGTTCAAAGGGTTTAGGGGC